CGGTTATGTATTGTTTCAATATTTAATCAAATGGCGCAATGAACGAGTCAATTCAGATTGAACAACGTTTTTATATTTCGGGTGCGTGGCTTGATCTTTCGTATGTCGCGAAAGCTTATTCATGCTTTTGAATAATCAAAAATATACATCATTTGAAATTTTGCGCCTTATCAACAAACACAAAGTCCTTTGAGAGCTCATTATCAAGAAATGGCATTTGAGGTTTATCATGAAAATCCGCATAGGGATTGATAACATCGAAAGGTAGTGCATGTCGATATTGTTATATCGTGAGATATCAGAAGATCTTCATGATTCACCAACATATATTGCCACGTTTTAGTACAGATGCTCGAAGACAAATTATGTCGAGTATAACCATACAGAGTTGAAGGTTCCACCGAGTATCCCAGACAACGCATCATATGGGTGAAGACGTGATTTATTTAATGATGTCGAATAGCAACAAGGTCCATGACCAGCAGATTTGCTTAACATGCATGAAAATGGATTACATCAACATTTTGGTTTGCTTTTGACTATGATAAAGATTTATTGTGTCATGAAAATTTGATCAGATGATACAACGAACAGGTTTTGACCTCATCAAACAAATAATCAAGATTCCATAGCTTATTATGATATTTATGACAAATATATCGCTCCAGTTTAGTGAAGAACATCTTTATTATTTTGATAATAGTACATTAGTTATATTATACAATATAATACATGGAAGAGTGTAATCAGAAAGTGTTTTGTTTATTACCTCCAAATATGTCATATATTAAATTTATAGGGTTCAAATTATGAAACACCATCTTTTCAACAGAGATCGCATCATACCAGTCCTCTGCAGCGAACATAAACATTGTTCATAAACAGGATCACCATATATAGCAGTATTATAGCCTTATAGCATCAAATTATTACACCGCTTCATTCATAATTATTTATCGCAGTAAAGTGTCATTTTTGATGGAAGTTAAATTACGGTTGGTGGTTGATTGTGGCCTGAGTGAAGTTTTCATAGCTGAAATGGGGTTTGTAAATAAGTATATACGTAGATAGTCGCAGTTGTTTTGAATTGTTTGTCAAGAATCTCGCAACAGGCTTACAAAATAAACGTATAGATATACGGACGCAGAGCAGCAATATTGTGGTCACTGTTAACCATATCAATAAATATACATACAAACATCTGATCGCCATGATTGTCAAATGAAAGCCGCGCAGCCATCAAGTCAAACAGTAGTTAGCTGATTAAGCGGCATTCATGCAGCATAAGAGATAAAGCCTTGAGAGTTGCTGTCATTATATTTTAGTGCCTATAACATGGGCTGGTACTTAGGTTGTTGAAGAGAAAACTGTACATGCATGTCAATAACGAAACCATTTGCTACTTCATGAAAATAAAAATCAAAATCAGTGATCACTACTTAATATTTCATATTCGCCCTGCCGGCCGTTTAAGCCAACTTTAAATATCATCGTTTTGCCATGCCGATGCCTTAAAACGTTTAAATATCAGTATGTACGCATGAGTAGCAAAGATGTAAGTGCATTATTCGATAGATAATGGCGTGATGACCCCATTCACGTATTAGGCGATATCCATTGACACAATACACATCGCTCATAAATCTACTCAGTACGATCATTACACAATATGGTTTCGTACTCCAGCCCCCGATCGAAATGTTATTTGCTTTCAATCTCAAACAAAACTAAGTTATCGGGTGAAACAAAAGTCAAAATCGTGTCAATGGAGGAGACCACGAACATCATGATAACGATATGATACACACATGCAAAGCAAAGTGCGGAATTGCTGGCACAAACAATATCACCGTTAAATATGACAGTTCAAATGTTTTGCTTTCAGGTCGATGTTCTAACTGAGCCAGCAGAATCATCGATGCACCAGAAGCTTTGCAAATGCCCGAGTAGAAACATATCCAGTAGTGTGTCTCCATTATCATCTATATTATAACGATATCGTATACCAAAGAGAACAGCCTTTTCAATCGAAAGGTGCAGATATCGGCATATGACCAGCAGTCAGTTTGAACCAAATCAGTTTAATTTCGAAACGAAAGTCGGAATCGTTGGGGTGTTTAGTACCACATAGAGATTGATGCATGCTACAGTTACCAGAACGAAAACGAAAATCACTAACACCACATGCAATGGTGTCGGCCCACTGACCGACGGTCGTTAAAGAATGTTGCTCGTGCCAGATGGTAGAATGTACATATAGTTGAATGACGAGAATGACCGCCGCACGATCTTCCACCAGCGATCGCCTATCACCAATAAGCGTCATCACGAAGAAATGGGGTCACGAGTTTCGTACATGTTGGCGAAGTCGTTCCTCGTTTCACTGAAAATCAGCCGATATGGCTGAAGCCGGACGTTCACCAGCCCCATACCACACCGAACGCGCTATATGCCAACAAACTCAACTCGAAGACATATTATTTGATCGCTCCGAAACCACAAAATTTTCATCACTTTCTGTACATAACAAACTCGAATGGTCTACCAGGAAATGTCCATCTCATACACGACGATAACATCGAAAGCGAAGAACAGCATTGAACAGCCGGTTACACCAGAATTGCAGAAGAGACTTACTTATGATCCGAATCAATATTGTTTTGCCATTTTGGGTAGCAGCGTTCATGCCAGACACACTAGATTCTTCGAGATCAATGTATTCCGAATATACACTTGCCGTAATATTTTCTAGTTAGTAGTCATTTACGTGATCATTCGATTGTGCACCACGCCAATCAGCAATTTTCGGTAGGTCTTCCGTTGTATGACTAATATTATTAGACAAAGTTACTGGTTTGCTTGACATACATTTTGGCAGCAACAGAAAGTTCATGTCATCTTCCATCGCACAGTTAGACAATATTTTCAAGTCACATGTCTTCAAGTTCACTGTTTGTTCATCAGTACAGCCACTGAAATGGAATATTTCGAAATTTACAGCTTGTAAGATACGGGGAATGGTCGTTTCTTCTGCAGCATATGTATCGTTTTCGAATGAGAGAGTGACAGTTAGTATTATATACACATATTTGTCGTATAGCGAAGAGTTAATGTAATGGTGCGCAATTGTAAACACAGTTATGCGCACGTCAAAATAATCGACGCGTCCGATCCACATCCGCCAGCCACATGTTTCAGCATTTAACTGCATATGGCGTATGCATGACATATTTATCGCACCGCACTTGACCGATTGTTTACTTTTCATCGCTGCGCCAATATTGTTTGCCACCGGCACCATTACGTATAGTATATGCTGTTACATACGATAAATATGCGTATGTATATAATACCCAAGCTTGCTCGCCTCTCATTCTCTGAAAAACCCACAAAGGCTATTACATTCATATAGAAGAAACGATATTATTTTTACATCTCTTACAAACTGTAAATGGCCAAGAGAAAGTATAAAGCATTAACGAATTTCGAAACATTCTAGTTTGAATTAACATACTGAAAGGAGAGGACAAAACCAGTGAAGACCGGAGAAGTGTATTAGTGACTTAAGAATGTGTCTACGATACAATACGATGAAGTGTCAAATATGAAAGGTTTTCGTTACCTTTAAGAATGTATAATCAAGTCAAGCATAAACCAGTAATGGCTTTGTCATGTAAACAAATAGGTCCATACAACGGAAGACACCCTGTCGAAAATTGCTGGACTAGCAGTTAGAAGCATTGAGGTACAATCAGATGAGATCACATTAAAATTGGGCTTCTAATAAGACTAACACGAGAATGTTACGGCGTAGGTAATATTCGGAATCGCATTGATCTCTAAGAATCTAGTGGTATGAGTTCAGCATGGACACTCTTAACACCCAAAATATTAACCAAAATGTATTGATTGGATCCATAAGAAGAGTAGAGATCCTCTTCTATAATTCTGGTGCCAACCCGACGATTTTCAAGTACTGTTTCTTTAACTTTTTCGATGTTATCGTCATTAAGTAATTAACAGAGGTGGATGGACGACTCGCATGAAGCAAGGCAAATTCCATTCGGAGTTTGTTGTAAAACACAGAAAGTATTAGAAATTTGGTGAACTTTTCCTAACAGGGCAGTCAAATAATATGATTGTATATGTAAAGTTAAGGGCTACATACATATTTGTATTGTACCATAAGCGCGTTCAGGTTGTATTACAAAAGTATAAGTCGCAATTGGACGTCAACCAATACATATCAACAATTTTCCAGTATAGAGCGAGAGAGCGACTCACTATTTACATCTCTGCAAACTCGTAGATACAATTTCGTATATCTGTGTGTGTGCTAATTGGTGAGAGTAAAATCTCTCGATCGCTTTGTTTTGATTTAGACCTCGTTAGGAGCGCAAAGATCATTGCACAGCCCATTGAGTCCCATTCTGTCCGTCAATTCCAACTACTATGTACATTCTACCATCACAACATAGGCAACAGTTGACATTCTTTTAACGACCGTCCGGAATTTCGGTTCTCCGAGTATTCATTTACATTTTTCCATTACGTATAGTGCATTTTTTCTTGTTCATTAGTGATTTTCCATTTTCGTTTCTGTAATTACATATGTGCATACACATGTCCATATGTATTTACTAACTACCTAGCATTACAGTTCCGACTTTCGTTTCAAGTTCAGCTTGGTTTAGTTTTAAACTGGAAGCCTTGGCATAGATACTCATATATACGATATCTGCACCTTTTCGGTTGAAAAAAATTTTGTTTTCTATTTGTTATACATTATCGTTTATAATATCATTGATAATGGAGAAGTTTTACTACTTGGATATGTTTCTACTCAGGCATTTGCAAAGCTTCTGGGGTGCATCGGGTGATTTCTGGCAAGCGCAATGGGATAAATTTATCGATAAAACAGGTAAGTGCACAAGGAAAGTAAAAAATTTGACCTAATCGTATTTAAGCGGTGATAATTGTTTGTGCAAATATGAGGGTATATGTGTGTATTTAAATCCACGCACGTAAGTATGTACTACGTATGTGTATCATTCATCCGTTTATCGCTGATAAAAGTTCGTAGTCTCCTCCATTATTTTTTAATTTTTTGACTTTTTGACCGCAGTAAGCTTAGTTTTGATTCAAAGTTAATGATTAGAAACTAAATAAGCATTTCGAATCGGGTTTTTAAGTGAAATTTTAAGTATATTGTGTAATAGTCAATACTAGTGATTTATGGCGTATGTATATTTACTATCAATGGTTATCGCCTAATGCAGTAGATGATCGGGTCGTAAACGCTAATCCGTGTTATCTATCAAAATAGTCCACACTACGTACATACTGAAATATTTAAACATTTTAAAACATCATGCACTTAGTAAAAACAGTTATAATTTAAAAAGTTGAAGCTATAAGCTGGCTGAAGCTAAAAACAGGGCAGGCCATTGTGAAATATTAAAATCCTTAATTTTTGATTTTAATTTTTCGACAGAAGTACCAAATAGTTTCGATTATTGTAACCCCTAAAAACTATTTATGTCTAGTTTTTCATATTCCAACAGCTACCCTCGTATTTTATAGCCCATGATTTATAAACCACTAAAAATATATAATAGCTAGCAATATAAAGGCTTTATCTCTCTTATATACATAAAATGCACTTAAAATCAACGACTACTAAGCCTACTGTTTGGCTTATTAATTGCGCAGAAGCTTTCATTTTTATTATCATAGCGTCAGATGTTTTGAATGTATGTATGTACTATATAACAACAATATAGTTAAACAAAGTGACCTACATGTATATATATATATACCTATATATACATTCAAACATATCTATGTACGTTTTTATTTTTGTAAACGCCCGTATTTATTTTTGTAAAGTTCGTAATATAAACAATTTCAAGATAACACGATATAATATTACATACGAGTATACCTCGCACAAAACTTTAAATTTTATTTCTTTATGAAATAAAAACTATAGGCCCACAAATAACCTGTATGAACGCTTATCAAAAATGTGCTACCGGTCAATAATTATAATTAAACAGTGTTGTAATAATTTATTAGAGTCTATAAAGATACCTGTCTTACTTTACTATACAAATGGAAATACCTAGAAGATTTAATCCATATTTTATGAACGGCTAATGAACTTTTATGATAGTTTATAATTAAACACAGAGGTTTGAAAATTTTTATGAAGGTGCGATCACTATTGAAAAAGATGTTTCTATAATTTAAGACCCCTACTCAATAGAAATTTAATATATGATATATTTGGAGAATTCTAATAGGAGCAAAAACACTTTCTATAGTATATATATGTATGTATGGTATGTTGTAATATATGTATGTATTTTTTTATCAAAATACTATTTTATGAAAGGTGTTCTTTACACTTCCTTTGTTGATATATTTATCATAAATATCATAATAAATATATGATACGAGTCTTAGTTATTTGTTTAGTGTTAAGTTCAAAACTTATATTTCAAATTTGTATCTATCCATCTGATCAAATTTTTCACTTATTTTAATACGCATCTTTAGTATCGCCGTCAAAGTAGGCCTCAAAACCAAAAAAATGTCAGTGCTTAATCCAATTTTTCATACGCTTGTTATAAGCCTTGGCGGCGATCACCTTTTGGATTCGCTAGGTTGCTGGACATATTCGACATGTCAATTTAATAAATCCACGTCTTGTCACCCTTAATGATGCGTTTGATAAATGTAGGATTCTCAGTTACGTTGGCAAGCATCTCTTATGAGACCTATACTCGACATAATTTTAGCAAATAACGAGCATCTAGCATTACTAAAACAATAAGCAATATATGTTGAGGCGATCCATAAGAGATCTTCTGATATATCTCTGATGCCAACACAACAATATCCAAACACTTTTTCTTTAACATTTTCGATGTTATCGTCGGATGAGGTAAGTTTTCTATGCAAGTTTTCATGACTTTCACTGAATGCTTTCGGCCACTCAAATACTTGTTTTCTTGATAAAGTAGGCTCCTCAAAGGACTTTTGTGACATTTTCATTGGAAACACAAAATTTCCAGGAAACTCGATGTTATGTTTTTTTTTTTGATTGTTCCATAGTAAAAAGCGCCAGATAAACTTTTCGCGACATAAACACACACATATGAAGATCAAACTACGCACGAATATAAAAAAACGTTGTTCCAATCTGGGAACTCTTCTTGTCGATTCGATTTGCGCGAGCAGTTTAAATGAACCAGTCTGGCTTAAATTTGTTAGTCAGATGGTTTAGGTTTTATAGTATAATTGCAGTCTCCCTAGTTGTTAACAATTTCTGACCAAAATTCGTTTACTCCAAGTTCACTATATAAATATAAATATATACAATTGTTACATAAGTGTAGTTATGTATGAATACCTATGAACATAATTTGTATGTAAATATATGTATGTTTGTAATCTAATCTTCTTTGCTACGCGTGATTACGATGGTCACGGGCATTCTTGTTTTAATTGTGTTTATGTCGTTAAGAGAAATGTAAACAAAACATAAATAAATACTAAAAGCTTTTGAAAATATCTACGGTAACTTCGTTCAGTTACGTATTGCTATTTTGACATGGATTATTACTGCTGAAAGCATTACTACAATATCTGAATAAATTTTGTATCTTAGCACTTTCTGGTTGTTATCTATTTTATGCCAGTTGCTCGTTCTTTTCGCTGCTATTTTGGTGTCAAGAACTGATAATATCTTTATTTTGTAGAATAAATTTTAGCAACTTCAATAACAGAGATATATTTTGTTCTTGAGCGACTAATGATCTTTGCTTGATAATTATGGTAATTTGTTTAGTTGATCTAACAAAGAAATGCATAGGTCAATATTCTCACTATTTAATAACTAATAGACACGTAAGTTTAAAATAAAAATAACGACAGTGCAATATGATTCAGCATTTTATTTAAAATATTTATTATATCACAAGAACTCCATAATGTTACCAAAATATGTATAATGTATATTAATATAAAATGTAGCCTACATTTTGGCGCTAAGATGTATATAGTGTATGGACTTTAGGAGAAAGGGCAAGCAAGCACGAATTACTTACTGGACTGAGGCTCAAGTTTTATGTCAGCATTGTTCATATGTATGTACTATGTCATAAATGAAGCTTAAATTGTTGTCTTTGAGTTTGTCTCATCTATGACCAATTTCATATTATATGTGTATGTACATATGAATACTATATATTATATGTGTATGTACTTTTTATGATACATATATATGTATATTTTAATAAAAGTCGAGCTTCTTTGTTGCAATGCGTATAAATTACTCGAGCACTCACAAATATATTAATAAAAGTTCATAGTATATGTATTAATGTATGTAGACACATATAGGTATATAATGGACATTAATTTAGGTAGTTCTCACCATATTGAATCTGACAATTGATATATTTCCGACGTTTAACATTTAGCAAAACAACATTTTTTGCGAATGAGCATTTTGTTTAAATATACAAATTATTAGGCGGGAGAGCGATACCGGGTTACAACGTTGATTAACATGCAAACAAAAGTAATTGACACACACATAATGATTGTGTAAACACTTGTTGATTCTACAGAGAATGCATACTTATGTATGTATTTATATGTATGAGTATTAATAGATAAATTGTGTTATATATAAATAAATATAAGTAATTAGAAAGTACAATACTTGCACGTATTGCTTACAAAAATTACGAAATATCATGCTAACGGTATCACATGCATACAAAGAATAAAAAATATTGCAGATCCCGCAATTTCGAATTTAAGTGAAAAGCTTCAGAACTAATTATGACTAAGAAAATTTAAAAATACATACATATGTACGATATGTACAGAAGAATAAGTATGTACTTACATATGGGATGTACATATAACAATACACGTGAGTACACAAATGGCGTTCGTTCT